TGAGCTGGGCCTGCTGGTGCACACCTGTAATATCACTACAGCACTCGGGAGGCTGAAGCAGGAGCATCACTGCAAATTCAGGGCCACCCTGGACTGGTAGCCAGTCCCTGCCTCATAAAGCTTAGGTTTTAGGCAAAATGAAAACTAGGGCTCTTTAACTGCATGAAAAAATAATCCAAATAGCATAAAGTTAAAGACAAAAATATATTCTTGTGCTGGAAAAGTTGCATGGGGAAAAACTGTGAGTTCTTGCAGTTTTAGATATTATGCAGAAAGTGTGCAAGTAAAATGTGTGCAGGACTGGAATAAGAAGGACTTAAAACGTGAAAAAAGAAAGCATAAGGAACTGCTGAAGTGGTTCATCTGCAAGAACTTGTGACTGGTGGTCAGCAGGTGAAAGAAACTTTTCTTTTTAGCTGTTCAAATAGTTAACTTTTAATTGACCATATATTATCTTGAAGTGTTTTTAAATTAAAAAATCACATGTGAAGGCATTAATGAAATGTTCTTAGCATCTGTAGTGTTTGCTTTTTAGCTTATTCACTATGTGTTGTCTCAAAAACAAGTTTTGGAAGTTGCTGGTTTACAAATCAGTGAATAAATTGATACACAAAACCCTGTGAGAAAGCAGTTGGGGTGAGGTGGGGTGAGGGGAATTAAAAGATTTCTCTGCTTTGGTAATTTTACTCATCCCTTTTTTGTATTCCACAATCTAAACCTCATAGACTATCTCTGCAGATTTCATGATTTCAGTTTTACCCAACTCATCCCCCTTATAATTATGAATATATGGACATAATTAACTGAATCACTTTGAGAGAGAGATAGAAAAAAATACCCTACTTAAAGCTAATTAGATGAATCATGAATGCCTGGAAGAATGCATTTCAATAAGGTAAAAAAAAACTTTGGATAAAAATTTAATGAAGTTTCCAATTGCATTTGACCACAGAGAATATTGATAAGTGTTCACACAGATTATTAAATTGTATTGATTTAGGATCCCAAGCTCTAAACACTGCCATTGCCTCCACGGGGAACCTGATTGCACTCACATGTCACATTCATAAAAAAGCATGGTGCACTAATTGGGAGTCTCCCGCCATCTGCACACTTGCTTCCAGGCGCACATGAAATGATCAATGGAAGGCAGGGTCAATCCAGGCAGACTGTGAGTGAAATTAAAATAATAAAATGTCTAAACATTTAACTGCAAATAGGAAATCTTTATACCCACCCACACCCTATTCTGTAGTATAAAGCTAAGGCACAATTATTCATATACCTCAAGTAATTTGCAGGCTCCATACAAAATCTCATTTAAAATAAGAAATTGCTATTTCTGCACATTTATTCTACCAAATGCCAGCTAATTGCTGCAATGGCCATTATAAAGAATAATTTTCGCTTAGTGGAAAAAAAAAGGAATGAAGAGAACATTTTCTGGTTTTGTTCCACTGCGAAGGCTCTATTCAGTGAGTGCTGAATGCACAGCGTTTCACTGCTACATTTATTATGCTGAGAGGTCAAGTATTACACAGCATCTTGTATTACGCTTTGCATGCTAAGTATTTCACTTCACAAATTGACCCTCCGGTGTACTTACTACATAATGCTTTAAAAACCCAGCTAAAACGCAGGACAATTAGCAATACTTTCACTCCCAGTTAACAATGGGAACACCAATGTAGGTGATTGCATTTACAGTGTAGCTTTCTTCACAAAACATTTTTGACACATTAAGGTACTTCGGAATTGTGCAGTACCAGTCCTCTCTTGTGAATGGCTTTCCAGCATTTGCAGAGAGAAACAGTGACTGTATGTTAGAGCTTAATTGAAAAGAATTCAGCCACGGCCTATGAAGCACCAATTAGGGTGATATTATATCATAAAAAGCTGTAATATCCATTTTCAGACTTGTGCATCAGCCAATACAAAGTAGGAGACAATTAAAAAGGTATACAGTTTAAACTCTTGAAACTGTTAAATTTAATTAGGAGTTCAGTATGGGGGGGGGGAGTGAATGAGTGGGGGGCCGTGGCAAAGAAAAGAAAGTTCTCTGTAGGGCTGGAAGACCGGCAGGCACCGACAGCCCATGAAGACCAGAGAAGTTGGCCCTTCCTTAAAGTATCGTGAGGTGATGTAAATGTGAGGTGTGTGCTTTGCCCAGCATCTAGTTTGTGAGGTCGGATGAATATTCATGCTAGTGCTACTTTCTAGTAATTCTGGTGTCTGTTGACATCTGGCAAGGAACAGTGGGTGGCAGAACCAGATCCAGATCAGGGAAAAGGGAGCGCAATATTGATGTTCTCTCACACACACAGTTCAAACACAATTAAAGGGGAGTTAACTGCATCACTTCGCATGCAGAAAGACACAGATAATTGTGAAATAAAATGGACATAGCCAGATTGGTAGAAGTGTCTTTGCAGGCTTGGCTCTGAACACAATATTTAAATACTGGAACCTGCATGAAATCCCACTTTGAGGTGACAGGCGGCAGGTAATTATCAGTAAAACAACATTATCAAAGTTCTCGCACATAGCGTGTTTGACTGACTGGAGTGCTTCTCCTTACAAATCCCACTAATATCCATTTCAATCTGCTTTAATATGTTCACAAGTTGGGGCTTATTTTGAATTCCACTGGGTAAATGAGGACAGCACACTTTGAATTTGCATACTATACACATTCCTTTCATTTACAGAGGGTTTCTAGTGTATTTTTTTTTAAAGAAATCAACCCAGAATCCAAAAATAATGTCTTCTCTATAAATAGAATGAAAATAGAAAGAAACTCACTTATGTACTGTATTTATTCCATCTGGCATTATACAGCAGATTTATGATAACGATCTTCATCATATTTGAAGAATAAATTATTTTAATATTTTATCCATGCTAATGCAGTGAAGAGTACTAAAAAAATGCCAATGGAAGAGTCCCTATTTCTGATTTGAGGCGGTCTCTCACATTTCTCCTTTCTCAGCCAATTCTTCACGATCTTGGAATCCTCAGCAGCAACAACAAAGAAAAAAATGAAGAAAACACACAAATGAAAACACAGCACTTCGCTGAAAATCCTGGAATGCCCAGCTCTCCGACCTGTGAGTGCCAGATCATTCTGAAGACACCCTTTCCACTTCAGAGCAGTATCTGATGCTCACTCATGGTTCCCAAGTCTTGAATTAAATTAGGACTTTAATGAAATAGTGATCAAGTACCATGGAAATCTGGAGTAAGGTCACAGTCAATTGTAAAGGCTGTTTTTGTTTCCCTGGGTGAATGTGTAACAAGAGGCATATTTGTAATGGGCGATTGTGCCTTCAAAAACTGGGCCAGTTAACAGACCCTAAGGTGGTGGTGACATGAAGATGTTTTCTCTGTTAATGAAAATGGAGCCAAAATGATGAATGTGATTAATGTAAGAGGGACTTCAAGGGATATGAGTGCGATGGGTTTTAGATAATGCTCATCCAATTCCATAGGAATTATACACTGAGCAATCTAGATTCTAGACCTTTCTATCCAATCCTGGTTCTCCTATGATCTCCTTTCCTAAATGAACAAGATGAGAGAGGTTCCATTTGCAGATTTTAATGACAGTTCAGAAGCTTGTTAAGATTCTTCACAGATGACAAGAGATTTTGCAAATGTTTCTTTAAGTTCATTTTTCTAACTAACCTTGTTTCTGGAATTCTCATCCTATGAGAGGGCTGAGAGAATTAATTAGCCTGTGTGGTCTATAACTGATTTGATGATGAAAATTGTGCCTGAGGTATCAAAGATCTATTTTTATTCTTTTCTGCAGGGCAAGAAATACCTCTTCCTTGGCCAGTGTTTGTATCAGTACCTCATTTTCCCCTCTATTCCAATGTTTCTTTTTTTGTACATGAAGATCACTCTACTGCTGAAGAAATAATCAAAGTTTCCTCCCTTTCACTATAAACACCCAGGAGTCATATGTTCTTAAGCAGCTGTGGACTGGTAGGAAATGCAAAGGAGTCAGTGGACAGGTTGTAAACCACATGGGGTGGGGCAGGGGCAGGGGTTTTGGTGAGCTGGCTTGTGCAGTTTCTTGGCTCCAGAAATTTCAATCATGCAGAAATATAATTTTAAACTTCTAAGACCTTCTAGCTTCTTAAAGAGAAGACGAAAGTGTGTGTGTGTGTGTGATTTCGATTTTTTTAAACACTGTGATAAAAACAAAACACATTTATGGTTCAAGTTTGGCCCATGGGTTACCAGTTTACAAACTTTGATAAAAATTACTTTCTTAAAAACTCTTTCTTCTTTATATTAACGGACTGTCATCATCATTTGCATTTTTACAGGCATGAAATTACAAAATACTAATTTTGAACTGCTGAAAGGGGCAATGGTAAGCAGGCAGGGCAGATATTTAGAACCTGCATTTTCTTAACTATCTGAAATCAAACCATACAACCAGAAGGTACCGCCTGTGTTTCAGTGTCGTGACGAAATAGCTTAATGATCTTGGCTAATGCGCATTAGTCTATAACTTGGTTTCTGACTTTAGGTGTGTGTTTCTGTATATATGATCTGATTTAAGCTGCAGTAGTCTCATCAGAAGGAGCAAATCAGGTGATATCGCTGTTACAATCACCTCACAATCTCTGCGACTCACATAACCAAGGTGTCTCACTTATTCTGTGAGCCTAACCTGGGTGGTTCTACTCATCACTGTCACTTACAGATCCAGGCCAAAAGAAATGCTCACGGAGTGCTTCTGTTATCTCCAAGGCAGGAAAAGAGAATAAGGCAGATCACACGCTGGATGCTAGAACTCTCCTGTAGGAGGAACACATAACTTCTATTTATGCTGATTGATCTTAGAGTTTCCATAAAGAAATCCCTGAACAATAACTTTTATATAAAAAGGGGAAAAGAGGGATTAAAAAGACAATGTTTTATCACATATCAGAGTTTACCACAGAAACTCTAAAAAAAACAATAGATCAGAATGTAAGAGCCAGAAATAGATCCCTATATGAGAATTTATGGATGATAATCAAACTCAGAGGCAAGTATTGATTGTTTTTAAATGGCATAGAAAAGTCAAGTTGAAATTACAAAATATGAAAATGAGGCAAATATCCAAAAATAATACAAAAAATTTCAGGAACTTTAAAAACTTATAAAGATATAATTGTCCATCATACATATACATATACATATACATATACATATACATATACATATATAAATATATAAATTGTTTCCCTTCTTTCTTCTCTCTTTTTCCCCATCCCAATTGTTCTTTCCTTTTGAGCAGTTTCTTCACCCTTTCACTTTCACAATAGCTATTGTATATTTTGAATATTACTTACTCTTTCTGCTTTTTACACTAGGGAGACAATATGGTGATTTTTTTACTTGTCTGTATGATCTGAAGTTGCATCCACTTATCTATAAAAGCCTTAAGTAAGTTTATTCTTCTTTATAGCTGAGTAACATTCCATTGTAGAAAAATACCACTTTTTTGTCTATTCTGGGTTGATGGACATTTAGCTCGTTTCCAAGATCAGGCTATTCTAAGTTGTGCTACTATAAACATAGGAGCACATATATTGCTGTGATATGATATTTTCAATTCTTCTGGAAAATACCCAGAAGAATAGCTTGATTGATGGGACCTCCAATCCTACTTTTTTGAGGAATCTCCACACTAATTTCCACAGTTGTTGTACCAGTCTATACTCCCACCAACAGTGGAGAAGGGTTCTTTTTTCTCCACAACCCCATCAGCAGTCATTATTGGTTTATTTCTTGATAAAATCTATTCTCTCTGGTGTGAGACAAAATCTTAGTGTTGTTTCAATTTATATTTCTCAAATGACCTGTGATGTTGAACATTTTTTCATGTATTTATTTGCCATTTGTATTTCTTGGTCTGAGAAGTATGTATTCATCTTAGATGTCTATATTTGAATTGAATCTTTGAATTTGGGGAGCCTAATTTCTTCCAATTTTTCAGATGTTCTAGATAGAAGTCTTTTGTCTGAGGGGTGGCTAGTAATTTTTCCTTCTCACTCTGTTGATGGTTTCTTCTCACTCTGTTGACGGTTTCTAAGAAACTACTTTAAGGCTAACAATGTGAAATAATAATCATTGTTAATCTATTATTTTGTTTTGAAATTCTGATTAATAATTTTTATTCTTTTTTCATTTTAAAATTTAAAAAATAAGAATAGAAGAATTAGGCTGAATATATAGCTCAATGGTAGATCATGTGCTTAAGAACACAGGCCTTGCATTTAATCCCTGCACAAACAAAAGAAAAAAAAGATATACTTCAAAAATGAGGATACATGGGGAAGGCTCCATAATTAAAACAGTAAATGGAGAAACTAGATAAAAGCAAAGCTGTGCCAGCCACGGTGACACATGGTGTCTCCCAGTACTCCGGGGAACTGAGACAAGAAGATCACAACTTCAAGTCCTACTGAGGCAACTTAGTGAGACCCTGTCTCAAAATAAAAAATGGGATCAGAATGTAGTTCAGTGGTTAAAGCACTCGTGGGTTGAATCCCTGGTACAGGAAAAAAATGATGTACAGTGATGTACCTCAGTTCAAGAACTTAATTCATTCCACCATTTTGGAAAAGATGGCCACGTTCATGTATGTGCAGGAAGGATGGCCACCACTGTTGTGTTTGTCACCCAGTGCAGAGCTTGCAAACAAAACCAAAATTTTGCCAAACACTTCTGTTTGCAAATCAACTTCTTTGCAAATAAAAGCATTTGTGAACCAAGGCATCACAGTATACTGTATATTTAGCTATATTATGATATATGTATTTTAAATAATAACAAAATGAAATACATTTTAGAAAAACTATTTTAACATGAAATAAAAATACAAGATTAATTTATAAACTCTTCTAACATATAACCCAAAGGAAAAATAGTCAACTTGCAGAGGAACAAAACCAGACAGCTTTTAAATTTACAAAAAGATATTTAAACTCATTAGTAGTTAGGAAAATGAAAATAACAATAAGAATGAAACTTAAACCTCTCGGTCTGGCAAAAATAAAAGACTAATATTATTCTTCTTGGTATGGATCCAGGGGAAAATGATGCCATCCCTATTGCTGGTAGAAATGAGAACTGAGTGTGTTTTGGAAAACTACCTAAAACATTTATTAAAATTCAAATTTATTACACTTCTTTGCCTTAGAATTCATATTTTGAGAAATCTACTTACATAGACAAAGCCCCAGTACACATAGGGACACATGTCTAAGGTTAATCACAGCTTTGTCAAATATGTCAAAAAGCTGAAAACAAAGTGAACCATAGTAACCTGTGCTATAGAAAAAGTAGAAAATGAAGAACTGTACCACCGTTCAACTCGGAGGGGTTTCCCTGAGGTATTTCTTAGTGATGATGAAAATCAGGGGGAAGGGTTATAATTCTGTTTTTATAAAATATGGCTCAAAAGTTCTAAGTCTAGGACTACATACACATTGTATAGACTATATATGGAGATACATGCTAATTCAATAGTGTGCATACCATGGGGATAGAGGCAGCAGGAAAGGAGATGGAAAGCGAGGAAGGTTAAAAGAAAAATAGTCACACACACAAAAAATAGTATGTATGCTGTAATTCCATTTATTCATCAATGCAAAGATGTGCATATGGAGTGCATGTGTAAGGAATCTCTAAATACAATGAAAATGTGCATTTGAGTATATAAGGCAAAGGACACATGCCAAACTAATGCCTCTTGACTATGATTCAGGCTTTAGATTGAAAGAGGTTCATCATTATCCTATCAAATGTGAGGGAGGACTTAAACTCTCAGCACCTGCTGGCAGGTGCTTCCCAGAGGGTGGCACCCATGAGGCAAAGCTTCTCAGTGTCTGTAAGAGGCTGCCACTTTGGCTGTGTGTCTGTTGGAACTGCGAAGTATAGAACCTTCCATCAACCCAACCCCCTCTATCCCTACTCTTCAGGCTCTTGGAGAAAATAACTTCAAACTCCCTGTTACCCACGTGCCTTGGAGTTCTGCCCACTGGTTGAACATCCGAATAGGAGAATGGCTTCAGTATGAATGCTGTTAAAACATAATTCTAATAACCTGTCTAACCAAAGTTTGCTCCCCCAAATTGGTAGGACTGGAAAATCTGCTTTCAAAAAGATTTGCAATGGAAATTAACATACATTTAGGGCTTCTAGAAAAGCAAAAACCGTCTTTCATGCCAAAGCAGACCCAAAGAAGTTGAGAATGTTTTCAACACTGAGTAGTCTCTGTAGCAACGAAGGAATTGCTTTTTGTTAAATGCAGACTTTGTTACCTGTGCAAGCTATTTTCATACTCTAGTCAACCCATTGTGAGCAAGACGAGGAGCTAATACATTTTAGATCCCCACCACTTGGTCCTTAAATTGAGCAGACTTCCACATCCTACCTGTTTGGACGGAGAGGACATCTGACTGGGTCTAATGCCAGTCCTGCAGTGCATGTCCAGGGGCACAAGGCGAGTCTTTTGCTTAATAGCAAAGATCTGTAACTAGGAGCTTATGTGTATGGTTTTCTTTCTTTCTTTCTTTTTTCTATCTCTCTCTTCGTGTGTGCATGTGTGCGTGCGTGTGTGTGTGTGTGTGTGTGTGTCTTTGTGCATTTGAGACTGGGTCTCACTATGTAGTTCAGGCTAGTCTCAAGCTCACTTTGTAGCCTGGGCTGGACTCAAACTCACAATGATCCTCCTGACTGAAAATGGGTTGAGTAGTGACTTCCTTCTAACAAACAGACAAACTGGGCCTTAGAAATTGTGCCTTCTTGTTTCGGATTCCAAATTCTTCCCACCAAAAGTAAAGCTTCTCTTCTTGTTGGTTACTTTCTTGTTAGTAGATTGTCCTGTAAAGTTTTTTCCCAAAATAAGCTTATCTCAATCAGATTATCATTGTTCAGAATTTTCTTCTGTTAGTGAAATGACTATAATTTAATGTTGCTCATACAGTTTTATTTCAACAAAACAATTTTCAAACATGTAAAGATTTGAAAGCACTATGCTCCTGTTACAAGAAACAAAAAATTCAATCAAATAATAAAGATAATATTGACCTTTATAATTACATCTTAAATTTCATGTTTGCTATGAAGACACAGAGGTGAATTAAAAGAGGACATCATTACACACCATTATATGAAACAAAACTCTCCTTCTCCAAATGGAGAGGATGTAGATGTGATTACTTAATACAAAGCAAAAGCTCTGTCTACCAAAGAGCAGACATGCAGTTATTGATCTGGAATTGGCACGATGACAAACTCCTCTGCCATTCTTTCTTTTCCCAATTAAGATGTCTCTCTTGAACTGACTGAAAGCTGTTTGATAAGTGTACTTTTTTCAAGATAGTGTGCTCAGTTGGGGGTCTTTTTATTAAGCTGAAATTCCATCATTAGCTCTGACTAGCACCAGCTGCTGTATAAATTCTGTGTTGATGTAGAGTTCCACTGGTATTTCAAATACTGCAGGTGAGTCTCTGACTCCAAAATCCTCAATCAATTGGTATGAATAATTAGCATCTGATAAATGCAAAATAGAAAGTACTCTCATTAGAAGACACTGAGGTCACAATCCTACCTTAGCCTCTCAGTACACTGTACCAAATAGGACTTTAATTGTAAAAAAAACAGAAAAGGTCTCTAAATCTCTCTGGGCCTAATCTGAAATGCAAGAGTAAAGATACTGATAAAAATCTTTTAGGCTTACAGGACTAAGGTTAAAAGACAGAATCCAAGCACCTGCACATTTTAGTATTTACCTGAAGGTTTTTGATTCCAGATGACTTCCCAAGCGTGTGGTTGGGGCCCATACTCTCCATGACTGTTTTCCCCTCTGAAAAGTTCATGTCTATCACTTTCAACACAAAAGAGAAATATTCTACGTATGTGTCTAATATTATTTCTAAGAGACATATAGTAAAAAATACAGTATGAAACAATTCTGGGAAATTGTCATAGGAAAGTTCTTCATAATGTTGAATTTATAGAAATAAATTCAGCTTTGCATGTATTTGTTATGTTTCAGGAGATATATTCTAAATGACTTGAAACTATAGAATAACAAAATTCATTAAAATAAAACATGTCATGATAACACAGTGATAAAGAGCAGAGTGTTCTGGAGATCAATTCCTGAGCCTCCGATTCTTTATCTGTAAAACAGGGATAGTATCAGGTTAAAGGGGTTATTTCAAACACAGTTACAATGTGTGTATGATGTTTAGTATAGGATCATATATTTGTTTTTAATTTATGCAAAGCAAATTACTGCATCCTTAGTGGTTTTAATCCACTTATGGCCTCACACTTCCTGTAGGTTGAGGCACAGCTTAGACATATCTCTTGCATTACAAGGGTGCAGGAAAGATGCTTCCTGGGCTGGATGCTTACCTGGAGGCATGACTGGGGAAGAAATGTCTTCCAAGCTCACTCAAGTTCTCAGCAAAACCTATTTCCTCTTGCAGTAAGAATGGAGGATCAAGCCTTCTCCTGGCTACTGGTTGAAGTCAGCTCAAAAGTCCTCACCACTTGTGCTTCCACAACAAGCTCATTTACAAGTGAACAAGGAGTCTCTAGGTGGGTCTGGTAGCAAAGCAGTCTTCCATTATCTCATACAAACACAGGAAGGACACCGCACCACTCTTACTGTAGTCGCGTGGGTTCCAAGCAGACCGCAAGGTCCTGCCCGCACCCAACAGTGAGCACCAAGAAGCAGGGATCATCGGAGTCCACTACAGTCTGTGTACCACATATACTAAGTGAATGAATAAGCGGTATGTGAGTAAAAGGATAAATACATGAATTTGGAGTTGAATGGTGTAAGCCATAGATCCCTTAAGCAACAGAAAAGAAAGGCATTAGTTCAAAATACAGGATAAACAGGTGGACAGTAAACTGCCTACTTGAAGTCATAACACAAGTGTGCACTCTTTGTGAAAATAATGTGAGGAAGAGTTATTGGGGTTGGGCTTTGGGGTTCAGGGAATAGTAGAGTAAGTTCTCAGGGGTGATGGAGAATGGAATGGAAAGAAAAATAGGGCTCTTGGTCTCACTTTGAACTGATGCTTTGCCTACAATTGGAGCAAAAGGAGAAATTAAAAAATAAAACAGTAAAATATAGTTATATAAACTTTTAAATTCTAAGCAATTAAATGTAACAATAAAAATTTTAATTTTTTTTTTTTTTTGGTACCAGGGATTGAACTCATGACCTCACACTTACCAGGCAGGCACTTATGCCACTGAAATCCCTGGCCACTAAATCCCTGGCCAAAAATTTTAAAAATTATGATAAGTGGAAAACAGTTATATCTAGTATATGAAAATGTAGTCAAACACACATATAAACACTATCAATATCCCCAATGTATAAATGGGCAAAGGACATGATTGTGTGATTCATCACAGGAAATATGAATGGAAAAATAAAATTTTAAATATAAATAGTACAGCTGCCTTAAAACAAAACATTATAAGTACCGATCCATAATTTTTACTAGCTGATTACTTTCAGATGGAAGAGTAAAATACACTGCATTAGTATTATTCATCAGACACCTGGAATAACTTGTAATTTACCCTGGGCAGTTGGATATTTGATGATAATTAACTCTCAGGTAGTTCACCACAAGAGAGAGAGCATGAGTGACTGCAGTCTGAAAATAATCAAAAAAACTTCTTTCCAGATCAAACGTTCATGTTAAGCAATGAAGCTAATGCTGGGAGGGAGCTGCTAAGAATCTTTCAAATTTACTTCTCTTCTTCTGATGGCTGAACAATAATAAAACAAATTAAGATCAGACTTAGGAAGAACAACAACAAAAAACTAGACAAATGGGTGGGGTGTCCAATGGGAGGAGAGTTTGCCCTCTCTTTTAGGCTGTGTGGAGTAGATTGGATATTCATTTTTATGCTGAAGATAACATGCTCAATGTGTTGGCCATCAGATCATATCAAGAAGTGAATTAGAGCAGGTCTTGTGCCATGGCTGAGAATGTAAAGGCCAACAATTAAATGCATAATGTAAACTTAGTGTTTGTTACCATTAATGTTACTCTTATCTTAGCAGGAATCAGGCATGCAAGGATGGGTTAGTTCCCGAATTCTAGCTGGTCTGCTTTTTAAAGCCAAGGAGGGCAGACACTCATGGGACAGCTGAAGTCAGAGTGACGGGAGGAGATCTGGCCAGGGGTGCACAGTACCTGAAGATTCCAGTGACAAACTGACAGCAAATGGTGTCCTGCGGTCCAAACAGCATGGGCAGGGCCTGTAGTTTCCAAACATATCTCAGGCTGACCAGCTACAATAGATCCAATAAGCTCTTCCAACCAGTGTCACCCATCACCCCTGCCTATTACAGGCAGGATTAGTCTGGGGCCTGCAGCAGCACTGGATAATAGCAAGGCAATACAGTAAGGGTGAGCCAAGAGGGAAACAGGAAAGAAGTCAGACTGGCAAGCAACTGATGGCAAGTGCCTTTCTCAGAGCTGTCACTGCTTACTATGCTCTGGAACGGGGGAGGAAATAGATTATGACAGAGAGGACAAGCAGAAAAACAATTACTCTTCACATTTGAGGTAATTTTGATAATTCTTGTCTGCACTTGGTGAATCTTTCGCACAATGCCTGCATCAGTGTGTCTTTCTTGGATGGTGAACTTTTAGAACACAAATCTACGTGTGATGAATCAAATGTATGTAGTTCCCTTTGAATAGTGCCTAGACAACCCTATAACAATTACAAGATTGACTTTTGGGGCTGGGGATTTAGCTCAGCGGCATAAGCGCCTGCCTTGCAAGCAGGCAGTCGCGAGTTCGATCCCCAGTACCGATAAAAAAGAAAAAGACAAAAAAAAAAAAAAAAAAAAAAAGATTGACTTTTAAGGTGAAGAAGACAGCACCAAAAACAGAATGAGGCTCATAAAGCCATTCTTTTTTATCATAATTTCAACAGAACTTAAAATGTACCTTGTTGATGAAAAAACACTATCACTTTCGATTCTTAATGTGAAGCAGATTTCTTACTCGTGTAAAAAATGTACCATTACAAGTCTGCTTCTGAAAACCTAGTAATAGGAAATCATCAAACAAGTGACCAACACTTACATGTAAACACATGAGTGCCGGGGAGAGGAAGGCGGCCATGTGCACACCTTGCGTGCGGTGCTGTGTGTGATGTTACTTCTGTGTCCCCTCACAACTGCAGCCCTTAACAAGTGTGGGTCTCCACCTAATTCTGGACTTACTCCGCTCTTGTTTGCACTTGCAACCTTCAGCTTTCTACTGATACTTCTCTGCAACATTAAATGTTCTTCCCTTTCTCTCCTTCCAGCTACTATGTTCCCCAATGTGTCTTTTCTTTTGCCCCCAGTTCTCTGAGTTCGTACGCAGTAGTAATTCTGCCAGACTCTCTTTGACCCCTGCTACCTGGCACTGTGCTAAAACTGTTGCCACCAGCATTATCCTCCTTGTAGGTAAAAACTGATTGCATGCTTTATATTCTTTGGACTCTTGGCCTCTTTGGCCTCTAAGATTCAGTTTTAGAGTTACCTGTCTAACTACTTAGAGAATATCTCACAGCTTCTTTAAAATCAAACAGGAAGTGTTGCAAGCTGAGCTCACATTCCCACCAAACCGACTCTTGTCCCATTTTCTGGATGTCAGTATGTAAAAAAGACATAAATGGGAAATGCTAAAAAAAAGGTCTCTCATTTATATATAGATTTAAACCTATTCATGGAAAAATCCATAAAAATATAAACAGATTGTGTTCTGAAATTTGCAAGTAATAAATCTTTGGTTCATTTAAAGAAAAATCAGAAGAAGAATACATATTATAGACAGCCTAGGTTTGGTATCAGAAAGATACCAAACTATTATATGTAAGCCTAAAAAAATAGTTCTTAGCCCTACATTAAAAGATTGGCAAAATAATGCAAATTTATACTTTTAGTTGAAGTAAAATTCACATACAATCCTATTTGAAAGAATACAATTCAATGTTATTCAGCACACTTACAGTATTAAGCGACTATCATCTCTCTCCAGTTTCAAATTTTTCATCACCCTGGGAGAACACCCTGTGTTCACTCCAGTGTAATCACTTTTCCCTCCTCCTCCCTGTTTTCTGGTATCCCCTACTCTGCTTCAAATTGAAATAGACCATTTAAGGCATGTAGACAATGTTTTTATTATAGTGACTCTTGATTAATCTACTTACTATTGACCCAACTCAAGTTGAGTAAGTTGTCATCTAATAATATCCTTACAGCTCTTCACTAGAGTCACTTATTTAGTTGTCTGTCCCTTCCTGCTCAGGTATTATGTGTTTTCCAGGCAGGGGCCACATTCCAGCTGTTTATTCCTGGGCCTGTAGTGCCTGGCATGTAGTGTGTTCCATATTTGTGTAATTAATTCAAATTGCCAAGAAGTTAACTTATCCAGTGACACACAGCTAGTAAGTAGTGAATCTCAGCTGAAGCCTCCATCTCTCTCATGACACATGGAGCAGAAAATGAGGTCATTTGGGAGGTGAATTTAGACACGAATCATATCAGAGTTACTATAGAAATACAGAAGAGTGCTTCCTGTGTGCTCAGCATCATTCTTAGCTCTTAACAACTATTATATTGTTTAATCCTCCTAGTGACTTTACATCATAAACATTATTTTTAGCCTAGAAACTATGGAGTTGGAAATAGAGATGCTTAAATTTAATACAAATATCATGGGAAGTAAGAGGAAAACTGGTCTAGGAGTCATTTAGTCAAATAGATTAGAAAGGACCATGACTTATCACTTTAGTAACAAGTTTTAAGAATAGTTTTAGAAAAGAGGGAGGGAGATATCTGAAATGGAGTCCTCTCTAGAGTTTGCCCTCCTACACACACACACACACACACACACACACACACACACACACTTCCCTCAGGTTGTATCTCATAAGTACTTGGTGATAATCATGAAAGATACCATTTTTTTGTGCTTCTTGGTTCTGTAGAATACAATTGTGTCTGCAGATACAACCATACTGCTATAAACTGGGACACTGTTGGAATCCCCTGAGATGTAGGACTCCACCATGCCTGTGCCTCTCTGGAGCTGCTGTGCAGGCACCAGGCCATCTGCCTTTCTGCTGGACATGGTCACTGAGTGCCTGGAGCATGGACAGCCAACACCACTCAGGGCTTTGTGAAGAGTAGAGGAGAAGGCCTCTTTCTGCCCGCTCTCTTCATCTGATGTGACTGAAGAAATATTGAAAGTGCTCCAAGGTCTTAAGAGGGTTGAGTGAACACAGATCTTCAGGTTTTTATGTGCAGTCCTCTTATGCTCTGAATGCAAAATTAAACCCAAGAAATCTGGGCAGCAGCAGATTCAAATGCGCCAGGGGTACTTGGAGTAACTATTCTCTGTCTGAGCCAAGCTTATCCTACTTTCCTCCTGCTCTCTGTCAGTCTGGAATAAATGATTCTGCGTTCTAAAAGTGGACACTTTCAGCCTAGAACTGGACCCCACCTCACTTATTCTCAAGATTCTGTGAAGTGGTAGTGAAAGGAAAGAAATTTGAGACTGTGGAGGACAGAATTCAGGATTTGGTGACAAAGACTTTTAACGCTAAATTATATTCTGAGTTTCTCTGGCAAAGTTTTGTGTTTTATTCTGAATTTGACAGGGAGTTATGCGAAAGGAAATCAAGTCTAGGGAGTGAAATTTTTAAAATCTAAATGCTTAATTTCTATCTTTACTTATTATAGGAATTATTTTAGTGGACTTTTATTAATCACAACCCTTTTAAAGCTTATTTTTTAAAAAAATTTCAGATTAAATTTATTGCTTTTTTATTTTAAAGAGGGTAAAACAAAAACAGAACAAAGCAGACCAGAAGAAAATAATGAAAGTGACACAAATTTCAAAGTAAGACAACAGGAGGTCTACAGTGGCTACCATAATGTCTCTTGTTTTCTTCTAAATAGTTATCTATATCTTCATACACAATGAATTCATACAAAACAAAACAGTATAAATTGGTCAAAACAGAATAATGAAGGCATTACAGACTTTCAAAACCAGACAATAGGAAGATCAACAATGGTTAATGTAATGTCTCTTGTTCTCTTCAAAATAGCTGTTCATACCTTCAGGTATGTTGAAATTAAATAATACAAAACAGACTAAAAACACCCTGAACAAAGAATAAAATCATTACCAGATTTCACAGTATGACGATAGGAAATCAGTGATGGATACCACAGTCTGTTTTTCTTCAAAGTAGCTGTTCATATCATCATGTACAATACAAATGAATTTTAATATATTGTTTAGGAAAAGTTCTAGGCTTGTATAAGCCTCTACATGTACATCTATCCTTTCTGCATTAGAGGGAAAAACAAAACAAAACAAATTACTGGAAAAACACAGAAACAAAAAAGACAAATAAATAACAAATAATAATAAATAGCAAGGAACCCAAAACAATGATGATATACAACTTCAAAACAAAGTCATAGGAATGAAACTAAGGTTGTTATTTTACATAATGATCTTCAAAAGAGTTCTTCAGATCACCAGACACAAACATGCAAAACTGATCCAATCTTATGATTGTTAACTATTTTGTTCCAAGAACTAATAGAATTTATAGCACAGTCATCTTAGCTATCTTGTGTGTTTATATAAATTTAATTTTTCTTTTCCCTTCCTTTTTATTTTTTCCTCCTTTTCCCTGAGATATTATTTTCCCCCTTTGAGCAGATTCTTACCCTTTCACTATATTTATTGAGGATTTTGTATCTTATGTACTCTCACCATTTCTTACATTAGGGAGACAATATGGTATTTACATACATGAGTTTGATTTATTTCATTTATGAGTATGGTTTCAAGTTGCATCCATTTACCTATAAAAATCTCAATGCAATCATTCTGTTTAGCTGAGTAGTACTCCACTGTACAAAAGTACCATATCTTTTTTATTCATTCCTCAGATGATGGACATTTATGTTGCTTCCAAGATCTGGCTGTTACAAATTGTATTACTGGAATCACTGCTTAAAATGCATTTGCTATGTGATACCTCTATTATGGTACCAACATGGGACCCTTTGGAGGATTTTGACAGAGTAAGGTAAACTGCTCTTTCAGAGACTGTACATGGGGATATAAAATAGCACAAATGGATATCTCTTCCATTACAAAGTTCTAGAGGGTGGAGTCAGGATGATTATTTTGTTTTCATCTTTACGTATCCATTCTCTCTTGTTTTCTATAACACATATATATTAGCTGTATGAGGTGTAATAAAAATATACAATACAGGTTTAAGTTTTTTAAAAAAATATTACAGTAGAAGATACACTGCTATTAATCTCCCTCAAAATACCTCCCCCAGTGCATTCATCCCATCATTCTCACCACTCTCTGGAGCAGTTCTGGAAATTTCCTCTCATGTCTTTCTGAGATATGATCAAAGATTTGATCAATGCTCTTGCCAAGTGTCATCCAACGGAAAGACAGGCTTGTTAAAGCATCACAATGTGTCCTGAGCAACCTTATTCGCCTTATCTGGCGCTATGAGATCTTTGACTCTTTCCCAAAAGCAAAATAACCATGAGAGGTAAAGTTTTGAATCAATTCAGAACATCACAACCGTGACAGTGCAGACGCTTGTGAAAGCAGACTTCCAGAACGGCTTCAAAATGGCAAGAAGGAGAGACGAGGTGGTGAGCAGTGAGTGCCAGCATGTGGCTTCTGCAGGACAAAGCATCTGGACTCTGGAGGGTCAGTGGCTCGAAGAGGGCAGGGTACACAGGAAACATGAGGGAACAGAAAGAGAAGAAAATATGATTCAGTGTTATAGAAGAGGTTGCCCCTGCCACAGAAGAGAAACTACAAGCTGAGAGGCAAAGTGAAACTAATAACTTTTCCACTCATGGAGAACTGATCAGGACCATCAGAATCTTACGCAGCTGGTGACAGTGGGAAGGATGCAAGATGCTGCTTCCCTGGTGGTCCTCCAAATTAACAGTTGGTGAGCGACCATGGTACAAGCACCAGGGGACACAATCCCATGATGCAAGAGCCATTGTGAGGAAAGGCTGGGTGTTTGAACCTCAGTCCTAGAACAGCCCCTTGGCTGCTTCACACTGTCCACGTTCTCAGTGGATGAAGGAAGGACAGCCACAGGGGCCTGCCAGCAATTGGAGAACAGATTTTTGGGGTGGGAGTTCTCACCGAAAGACAGGGACTGGTGATCACTAGCTTGGTTCCAGCAGTCAGATGCCAGTTTCAGCCTGGGTTACACAGCATTGAAGGCTCAATTGGCATTATGTTTCCAGCGGTAAAGGGAGACCAAAAACAGGGTCCTCATGAACGTTTTTTTCCCCAACTACTTCTTACAGATACCACCATAATGGATGAGCCTGTGAGTGTTGTAGTTGAACTGGTTGCATAGGAATAATCCTGACTCAGTGGACAATTCAGTACCGGTGAATTTGTCTGCTGAATCTACCATCACACCCAGAGAGAGGGACAGCAAGCAATCCTAACCCAAGAACTCAGACTGGATCAGACTCTGTAAGAATCCCTGAAACCTGGCAGCCAGGGGTCCTGAGTCTGAATTAACTTTGATTTTGCAGTGGAGGGATCAGAGGAGTAATGGGGGTGAGAGCACTCAGGCTCTCGGGCAAAGAGGCTGATCGGGAATCACATATGCAGGGTCTCTCTCATTGGAATATCTAATTTCTGTTCCCACTGAACATCATATTAGTTTAATTTTTTTATGTTTCTTGAGTTATTTAGTAACATAAGGTTGTGTTATATTCTTTTATGGGTTCTTCTGTATACTAGGTGACTACTTTTGTATATTCTTTCATTGGCTCTGACTTAACAGGATTCTAGGTTCTTTCCCTCAGCTCTTTATCTAGTTTCTTTACCTCAAACCCCTGAGACAATATTATTAACATACATCTTTATTATTTTCTCAAATATATAAACTCTACCTCCCAAGTTTTTAAATTGACCGCTCTTAACTCCTTGACAGTCACTTATCTTCATTAGTATAATCCCTCAGTCCTCCTCATCCTAAACCTTTGACTTTTCCATATCCTGACTAGCTTATTATTGTCCTCTTTATAAGTCCTGAAAAAAAATAAGTTCTGAAATCACATAGTTTTTCTCAATCACAAAGTGAACCTCTTTTCCCTCATATCACACCCTTGCCCCTGTGAAATATCCTCTGAAAACACTGAATACTAAACTTTCAACTGAACTAAAATACTTCAATAAAATCACATCAATCTTTTATTCTAATTTACCACTTGTCTCCCTTTCAAGCCTCTCCCTTAGTCCTAATACTACTCACCCAAGCACCATCCATTCTCCCCACCCCCACCTCACCTACCACACTGCAGAGCAACAGCAAATAATAAGCAGTCATAGTGTGCACAGAGAATAGACAAAACGGTGAAGAGTAATTGCAAGGGCTATCATGTAGTTGTTTAAGTTTTAATCTGTGAATAATGTTATAAATAGAAGGAATTCTTTCATCAAAATAAAGACAGAGTTGAAATCACTTAAAGTAAATAATAAAAAGAGTACATACTAGCACTGGGCATAGAAAGCTGAAAATTGTTTCATTCCCATGAACATCATTCCCATGTAACATCCTACTGAAAATCTCTACATTAGCCACAAACTCTCCTTATGTCACTAGTCTCAACCTGAAGTACCATATATTTGTATCACATTTTTGTGGTACATATATATACACAAAAATATATACAGATATAAGTAGGAGAACTCCTCCAAGGCAGAGCAAGGGGTCACAAAGAGAAAAGAAAACAAATCAGGTAACAGAAATCTATGAAATGTTATTAGAAGGGATAATTTAAGCAAATAATTTCAAAGAGGAAATGAATAACAAATGTACAGCAATTACACTTAATACATCCACAGTGAACTTCAGGGAAATAAGTAAAAAATTGGACAAGCTAACCAAAACAGTTCAAAATTTGAAGAACAAATTCAACAAGGATGTGGAATCCTTGAAAACATATCAGACAGAAATACCTGAAATAAAAAAGCATAGAATTCATACATTACAGTAATAACCAATATGAAAACAAAATATCTGATATTGAGGGCAAAATGTCTGATATTGAGGACCAAATAATAAATCATGATAAAATTCAAAGAAGCTAGAAAGAAAAGAAAAGAATATCCAGCAGCTACTAGAGGACAAGAAAACTATTGAGTTCGAGAAAACCTAGAGGCTAGCACAGATGAACTCACTAACATGCTTATAGAATTTATGAAACAAAATGTCCCAACTGCAAGAAAAGAGCTTAAAATGTAAGTGGTTCATACAGAACAGAAAACAATTACGAAATTGACAAAAGAAACACAAAAAGAAATTCACCAAGGCATATCCTTATAAAATTCACAGATACATAGCAAAAAATTCCAAAATTTCAAAGGCATCCAGAGAAAAACAAAAGATCACATATAAAGCAGTTAGAATCATAGCAGACTTCTCTGCACAAACTCTGAAGGCCAGAAGAGCTTGAAGTGAAGGACTCAAGCCCTAACCATAAATAGCTTCCCACCAAAATTAACCAGCAAAGCTATACTTCAAAATGGATGAAGATACAAGCTATTTTCATGAAAAAGATAAGGTCTGAAGATATCTGAGTATTAAACTAGATCAAGTGAAAATATTCAATAATTCTCAACAGAAACAACAAATTGGACACAGCTAAAAATACAGAGGAAACTAGTGAGGTCAGTGGATAAGCAGCAACAAAAAAACGTTAAGAAAAGCAAAACAATACACCATAATAAAGAAGGCAGTGATGGTAAATAACCAACACATCTCAGTAATATCTCTTAATGTTAACAGCTTCAATCAAAAGACAGACTGGCAAACTGGATCAAAAAACATAGTCCAACAGTTAGCTGCATCCAAGAAACTCATCTAATCCAAAAAGATATTTATAGACTAAAAACTAAAAGATAGAAAGCAACATTTCACTTCCCAGGATCCCCAAAACAAGCAGGGCTAGCAATTCTAATATCAGACATGGTAAACTTCAGTTAAAACTAATTAGAAGAGACAAAGAACATCATTACATACTAGTTAAAGGAACAAAGGACAGGAAGAGATAACATTGATAAATATATGCACTGAATACTGGGGCAACTGGCTTCATAAAACAAAAACTGCTGAAACTAAAAGACTGAGTAAACATTAACACAACCATAGTAGGGGATTTTAACATCCCACTTTCACAAAGTGACAAATCAACTAAACAAAAAACTGGTAAAGAAATTTCAGAGCTAAACCACATCCTCAAATATATAGAAGTAATGGATATGTAAAGAATATTCCACTCCTCTCCAACAGAGGAGAGTCTTTTTAGCAGCACACTGTACTTTTCCCAAAATAGATCACATAGTAGTTCACAAGGCCTACTAAAGTATATATAGATGAACTGAAATCACCCCATGTGTATTGTCAGACCACTGTGCAATGAAAATAGAAACCAATGACAGAAGAAATTTTGGAAAAGGCAAAGTTCTGTAAAATCAACAACATACTCATATTAACAACCCATGGGTCACAGAAGAAATTTTAAAATTTCTGGAAGTTAATGACAATGATGGTACAACTTGTCAAAACTTCTGGGACACTATGAAAGCAGTTCTAAGAGGAAAAGCCATCACAGTCAGCAGTCACATTTAGGAAAACACAGCAAACCAAAATTTTATAATAAATTTTAAGAAGTTATAGAAATCTATAGAAATATAAGAAATTTTACCATCTTAAGAAATAACAACAAACCAGCCCTCAACCAAAATTAAGGAAGGAAATTATAAAGATAAGAGCATAAATCAACGAAATTGAGACTAAAAAAAACTTTCAAAATCAGTGCATCAAAGACCTGATTCTTCATACCAGTAAGTAAAATAGGTAAGTCCTTAGCAAGACTCCCCAAAAGAGAAAAGACTCACATCAATGCAAATTGGAAGTGAAAAGGGTGAATCACAACAGTGTTGAAACCCAGAAGACAGTAACTATCTTGAAAAATTATATTTCAAGAAATTAGTAAATTTTGAAGAAATAGACAGATTCCTACACCCATACAAACCACCAAAAATAGCTCAAAAAAAACATGAATATGTTTAACAACTCATTAACAATCAATGACATTAACTCAGTTATTAAAAAATCTACTTTGAATTTACTATTGTCTTGTTTTGAAGTCCTGTATTGCATTTGTTATTTTGTTTTTATTGGTTCTATTCTGTTCTCTTATTTTGTATTTCTAAAGGTATCTGCAGCTATTTTGAAAATGGAAGGAGGCATTATGGTGTCCATTGTTGATTTCCTATTATTTTGCAGTCCTGCGTCACTTATATGGTTTGTTTTGATTGGCTTTATTCTGTTTTATTTTGCTTGGTTTTATTCTGTTTAAAATATAAATAAATAGGGCTGGGGATTCAGCTCAGTGGCACAAACACCTGCTTGACAAACGCAAAGTCATGAGTTCAATCCCTAGTACCAAATAAATAAATAAATAGAATCTACTGACTAAGAGAAATCCAGGACCTGATGATTCATTGCAAAATTAAGGGTGTTAGATTGTAACTATAAACTATATTGTAAATATAGTTCACAGCTCTTCAAAGAAATTGAAAGGGATGAAGTGCTCCCAAATTTATCTGTGGAAGCCAGGATTACCCTGGTTCTAAAACTATATAAATACTCCACTGAAAAAGAGATTTGTAGGTTAATCTTTTTACTGAACATAGATGCAAAAATTCTCAAAAACATTAGCAAATAGAATGCAGCACATTATCAAAAAAATGATACATCATGATCAAGTAAGTTTTATACCAGGGGTGCAAGGATGGTTCAACATATATAAGTCAATAAATGTAATGCATCACTTAAACAGGAACAAGGTGAGAACCACATGATCATCTCAATAGATACTGAAAAGGCTTTCAACAAAATCCAACATCCATATAAAGATCCTTTAAAAAACCATGTATTTATGATACATTATTCTAAGTGGTGAAAAACTAAAAACATTCCTTCCTAAATTCAGGAACAAGATAATAAGGCTCACTATGATCTCTTCTACCCAACAAGGTACTTGAAATATTAGCCAGAGCAATTACACCAGAAAAAGAAATGAAAAGGCTATTTAGAGGGAAGGTAGAATTAAAATTATTATTTGTCGTATGATACTCTACACAGAAGATTCAAAGAACTCTACCAAAAAAAAACCTTTAGAATTAATAACCAACTTCACCAAATAAGTAACAATGTACAAGATTGACACACAAAAATCACTAGCATTTGTGTACATCAACAATGAATGGAATGAAAAGTAAGTTATTAATACAACAGGATTCACATTTGCTTCAATAAAAATGAGATATATAGGAATTAACCTAACCAAGGAAGTGAAAGGCCTCTATGAAGAAAAATACAGTACTCTGAAGAAGGAGATTGAAGAGGACATCAGAAAATAGAATGATATCCCTTCCTCCTGGATAGGCAGAACAAACATTATCAAAATGGTCATGCTTCTAAAACTGTTACACAGATTCAGTGTAGTCCCAGTCAAAATATCAACAGCATACTTTACAGACTTAGAGAAAACAATCCTAAAATTCATATGAAACCACGAGACTCAAAATAGTAAAAGTAGTTTTGAACAATAAGAGCAAAGCAGATGGCATAGCAACACCAGACTTCAATGTATACTACAAAGCAATAGCAATAAAAATGGCATGATACTGGAACAGAAATAAGTAAATGGATTATGGAACAGACCTGAGGGTACAGCAACCTCCTTAAATACATTCAACTATTTAATCTTTGATAAACAGTCCAAAGGCACATTTGGAGGAAAGGTAGCCATATTCAACAGGTAGCATTGGCACAACTGGTTATCTGTTTATAGAACAATGAAACTAGACCCTTATCTCTCACCATATACTAAATTAAAATCAAAATGAAACAAAGATATTTTCAGGAAGATGGCAGAATGGTGAGCAACAGAAAAACAACTCCAATATTTGGAATCCAGATGCTGGAATACAGCAACATGAGGAAGAGAAAGAGGAAAGAAGTGTCTCCGTAGGGTCCTGCAAGGATCTAGACTGAGAATTAGAGCCCAGAGAGAGAGAGTAAAAAGAGGTACCATAACACAGAGGAGGGTGGTGGCAAGTGTCACTTTCAACCTGAGCTCCAGTTTGTGGCATAGGAGAGACAGCTCTAGTCTGCAGAGGCATAGTGACTACTGATAACTCCAGAGGCCCCCCCAGAGAAAGACACCAGTGGAACAGATGAGTGGATGCTATGGACTTCAGTAGCTGGTGGGTTATTTGTATTCAGATGCTTCTCCCAGAAGAGGACAGTTGGCAGGTAGCCATTTTGGGAAGGAGCCAGCAGAAGTCAGAACTCAGAGCATCTGCGGGTTGGCTCCATCTAGTGGCTCTAAATTCCAGAGTGAGGTGTAACCAAGTTATAGCCAGCATAGGGCAGGGACTGGAGTTAAAACTGAGGAGTAACTTGGACCCCTGCAGGGATCCTAGCCTGACAATCAGAAACCAGAAAAAGCTTGAACTTCAGCGGAAGTGAAAGCTAGGCATGCTAGGCTTATCCACCACTGCCATAATTCTACCCCTGGCTTGCTGGGAGCAATCAACCTGGATCTGGGCTCTGTCTGCCCCTTCTGTCTACCAGTGACAGCAGAAACATGCCCTGAAGCAAATACTTTTTTCTGCTTTTCTTCTTTTTTTTTTTTTTTTGCTATTTTATTTAATTTTTAAAATCTTTACATTTTTAATTTTTCTATTTTTTCACCTTTTCTTGATTAGTTTTAATACGAGTGAGAACATTTGTTTCTAGTGTTTTATATGTTTAGTTCTGTTCTCGTTTCCATTTTTTCATTCTTTCTTTCCTTATTCTTCACAAGTTCTCAAAGCTTGCCTAATCTTCCTTTGTCCCTCAGCTATGCTTCTAACCCCTTTTGCTTTTTCTATTTCTCTACTTTCCCCTACCTCTTTTAAATTTTCTCCCCTGAAGATAAGATTACATATTGTGGGGATACTTACTGTACATACTTTCTGGTTTGTTTTAGATTTGGTTGTATAACTAAAAGTCTGTTCATAAGATTAAGGTAGCAAATTAATAATAAGCACAATTTATCATTTTCTAGTGTGTGTTTGATCCTATGTTATTACTGACCACACTATTTTAACTGATGTGACATAATGGTTCTAATCAGTTGTTCTTTCTTGTATGCTAAGACTGAGGTTTTCTGTGGTTCATAAACAATAACACAGGCTAGGCTGGTGCCAAAGAACTAAATAGGGGCGAGGCTAACCAGGCAACAATTTTCCTTTCCCAATAAAGTGAAGAAGCCGGGCCTCAACAGGTTTAAAACACAAAAGCCAGATACACTTGGAAGACATCCCTGAGAAGTAGTTATTTTCTGAGAGTCTCTATACCAGCAATAAAGATACCTATTATAAACAACTTGCAAGTATCAACCTAAGAATTAAACTTTTAAAAAGTAGAAAATAAGACACAGAAGCAAAATAAAACTCTATACTTTCAGCTGATCAAATACAAACACAGAGAGTGATGAGGTGGGGCAGTTTGAAAGCTACTCACCTGTATTCTCTAAGTAACAAAACAGATGAGTAAGGCTCTAGAAAAAAATAAATCTTAAACAATTTCTCAGAGAGCTACAGAAATGATGACCACAGTAAAAGGCATGATTACGGACTCTAGATATGCTAAAGAGGAAAAAAATAGAAATCTTATGAAAATAATAGAAATCGTAATGCCCAACACAGGAAGAAAAATGAGATCCATGAAACAGATCAATCGGATATCCAGAAGATTAAAAATTCTATTGAAAGTATATACAGCAGAATTAATATGAGGACAAAATATCGGATCTAGAAGACAGGATTATCAATATCAATAATGAAAAGAAAGACTTCTTTAAAATAGCGAAGGACCATGGAAAATCAATAAAACAGCTGATAATGATACAAAGAATTACCTAAGACTGATCAGAGTTAGTGGAAAAAGCATGAGCTACAGCATGTGACATAAAAAGACTGTTCACAGAAAGAATGGCTGAAATTTTCCAGGAATGGGCAAAGAATTTGATATACACATAAGTGAGGTACGTTGAATGCTAATTAGCCATGGTAAAAAAAAAATCTACCCCACAGCATGTTGTACACAGGATTCCAGAAATTCAGTACAAAGCAGAGTATTAACAAGTTTTAACAGAAAAGAAACTAACCACTTATAAAGGAAAATCCATGACAATCATGGCAGACTTCTCAACACAAACCATCCAGTCAAGAAGTACTTGGAGTAAAGTATTTCAAACCCTAAAAGCAAACAATCTCCAATCCAGACTGATATACCTTGAAAACTATCTTTCAAAGTTGATAGAGATATAAGATTCTTCCATAACAAAGAACACTTGAATAAACTCATGAACACCGAATCAGTAATCCAAAATGTTCTAAAGATTATTCCAGAAAGAGATAACAAGGATTATAACTCTGTGAAGCCCAACAGAATGAATCCACCAGGCAAGGCAAGCAATTAAGCAAAGGGGAAATAAGAGCAATAACAACAGGTAAATAGCACGACAAGGATAAGTCAATACATAGCAGTTGTAACCATCAGTATAAGTGGTCTCAATTCACCAACTGAAGGAAGCAGGTTGGCAGAATGCAGTAAAAAACAAGATCCAACAATATGCTGCATACAAGTACACATGTGAACCAAACAGAAATCAGTAGACTGAAAGTCAAAGAATGGAAAACGTACTCCACGTGACAGAAATCTGGAAAAAAAGGTGGAGTAGCTATTCTTTTTGCAGACAAAGTGCATTTCAAGCTAGAAGTGATCAAGAGTGACAAAGAATGTCACTACACCCTTGTAAGAGAACAACCCAAGAGGAAAAGGTAAAAATCATAAATATATATGCAGCAAATACCGGTGCACCCAACTTTATAAAATATTAATGGTCATGAAAAATTAAAAAATCAATAATAGAATTGTAATGGGGGAACTCAATATCCCACTGTCATAAATAGAGAGATAAACACACAAAAATCAACAAAGAAATATCAGAATTTACCAAAATTTTGAGCAACTGAACCTAACAGATGTCTACAAGGTATTCCACTATACAACATCAGAATACACATTCTTTTCAACTGCATATGTGATGCTTTCCAAAATAAACCATATGCTAGCTTGTAGAACATGCTTAAGTAAATGCAAAGGAATTGAAATTATCTCATGCATGTTATCTGACAGTTGCAGTGAAAATGGAAATCAACAGCAAAAGAAATCACAAAGTTATATACACACTTGAAAATTCAGTAACACCTTCCCAAACAACTAGTAGGTCACAAATCAAATAAAAGAAGAAATCATACAGCTTCTACAACTAAATGATAATGCTGATGCAACATACAGGAACTTACGGGACACAGAGAAAACTGCCTTTTAAGGGAAATTTATAGTGGTAAATTCCTACATTAAAAAAAGAATGAGCTCAAGATAATAATCTAATTTTGAACCCAAGCTGCTAGAAGAAAAAAAGCAAGTCAAGGCCAAAGCTCATATGAGGGAGGGAATTATAAAGATCAGAGCAGAAATTAATGCAATGGAGATTAAAAATAATTCAAAAAATCAATGAATTGAAGTATTTGTCCTTTGACAGATTAAATACAGTTGACAAACCATTAGCCAAACTTGTCAAAAAAGGGCAGAAAAGACTCAAATCCATGCAATTAAGGAATAAAAAGGGTGAAAATACCACAAGTTCTGCAGAAATCTGGAAGATTATTAATACTACTTCAAGAAAATACAGAAATAGGCAGATTCCTAGATACAGATGAATTACTCAAGCTGAATCAGGAAGATATAAAGATTCTTAAAACCCAATGTCACCCAAAAAATGAAGATGTAATTAAAAATCTACCAACAAAGAAAACCTAAGCTCCTGATGGATTTGCTGATAAATTCTACAAGACATTTAGAAAAGGTCTAATTCTACTACTCCCCAAACTCTTTACTGAAATTGAAGTGGAAGCAATACTCCAAAACTCATTCCTGGAATAAAGTATTGTGCTGATCCCAAAACTAGAGAAAGATTGATCCAAAAAATAAAGCTACACACAAATCTCCCTAAATAACATAGACTCAAAAATTTTCTATTAGATACTGGCAAATAGAATTTAGCAAACCATCAAGGAAATTATATACTATGAGCAAATAAGATTCATCCCAGTGATGCAGGGATGATTTGATATGTGCAAATCAATAAACATAATACACCCTATTAACAGAGCCAAAGACAAAAACCATATGAGCACCTCAGTAAATGCAGGAAAATTATTTGATAAACTCCAACATATATTCATGCTTTTTAAAAAATAAGAAAATTGGAATATATGGTCTTTATTTCAATCTGATAAAAACTATTTATGACAAATCAACATCTAACATTGTACTAAATGGTCAAAAATTGAAAGCTTTCACTGTAAAATCAAGAACAAGAAAAGGGCACACACCATCACCACCCTTATTCAATATAATTCTTGGAACATTAATGAGAGCAATTAGACAAGAAAAGGAAATAAAAGAAATGTGGGTAGGAAAGAAAGAAGTTATCATTATTTGTAAATTACATGATACTCTACATATAAAATCCTAAAAATTCCAGGAAAAGACTCCTAGACTTAATAACCAAATTTAGTAGCATAGGTGGATACAAAGTTAACCCTCAAACATCAATAGCACTTCTGTACACAAATAACAAATCCACTGAGAGAAAAATTAGGGAAACAACATATTTCACAATAGCATCCAAAAAAATAAAATGTTTTTAATAACCTAATGTAGGAGATCAACCCAATGAAGGAAATAAAATATCTTTATTTTGGAAACAACAGTACTCTGAAAAAGGAGATCAAAGAGAATATCAGAATATAAGAAGATATCCCTTATTCTTGTATAGGATGAACGAATATAGAAAATTGGCCATACTTCCAAAATTGTTAGACAGGTTTAATGAAATCCCAATCAAAATGTCAATATCATACCTCACAGAATTAAAGAAAACAATCTTAAAATTCATTTGGAATCAGAAGACACCTAGGATCACAAAAGTGATGCTGAGCAACAAAGGCAAGGCAGAGGAATCACAATCCCTGGATTGAAATTATACTACAAAGCTACAGTGATAAAACAGTATGGTACTGGAAAAAATAGACCCAAAGGTCAATGGAACAGAATAGAAGATGCAGAAACAACTTCAAACAGCTTCTCAGCCAGCTTATCTTCAACAAAGGGGCCAAATACATTCACTGGAAGAAAGATAGACTCTTTAATTGTTACTGGAAAAACTATCTTCCCACATGCCAAAGGCTAAAACCAGACCCATATCTCTTGCATGCACTAAAGTAAAATCAAACTGGATCAAAGAAAAAAATGAGAAAAGAAGGATAAAATGGAAACAAAGTTATGCAAATAATGAGAGGAAGAGAGGTCATAGGAAGGGGAGGGGAATGAGGGGAAAAAGCAAAATTAAGGTATAGCATGTGCAGGTCCAGATTCCCTTTGGTGAATGTGATTATTAAGTAAATCTAAATTACACAAATAAACTTAATAATAAAAATGGATCAAAGATCTAAATATTAAAACAGAAATGCTAAATTCTTATGGAAGAGAGAAGAGGTAGAACTCTTAAAGACAGGTGCAGGCAAAGACTTCATGAACAAAACTCCAATCACACAGAAAGCATCACAAAGAATCAACAACTGGGATCTCATTTTATCAAAAAGCTTTTGCACAGCAAAAGAAATTACCAACAGAGTGAATAGAGAGCATACAGAGTGGGGAAAATTTTTGCCAAGTGTTCTTCAGAGGAAGGACTCATATCTAGAAAAAAGAACTTAAAAACATCAGATTCCCTCAATTTAAAAAGCTAATCCAAAAATAGGCATCTGAGATGAAGACACTTCTCACTTGAAGAAGTAGAAATGGCAAATAAATATATGAAAAAATGTTCATCATCATTGGTCATTCAAGAGATGCAAATTGTAACACTAATATTCTATCTCACTCCACAATGACTGGTCTCAAGACATCAACCAATAACAAATACTGGTGGGGATGCGGGGAAAAAGGAACACTTCTCCACTGTTGGTGGGAGTGTAGACTGGTGCAACCATTGTGGAAATACCTCAAAAAATTAAAACTAGACATTCCATTTGACCCAGATATATCCTTTGTTGATATCTTCCCAAAAGAATTAAAAGCATCACCACACAGCCGTATATGCACACTCATGTTTGTAGCAGCACAGTTGATAGTAGCTAAAACTTGAAAAGAGCCTAAATGTTCATCAACCAATGAATGGATAAAGGTGTGATGTTTTTATGCAATGGAGTACTATTCAGCCATGAAGAAGGATAGATGAGACATTTCTAGGTAAATGGGTGCAACTTGAGAACATACTTTTTATGTACTATATCAGGCACACTTGTTCAAATATCACATAGTTTCTCTAGGTGAGAAACCAAAATTGTAAATAAAGATTAAATATATAATAGAAATTGTAAAATAGAAAGAAAATATTCAAATGGGAAGGGAAATAGAGCTGGGAAGGAGAAATGGGAAGGAAAGGAAAAGGGAAAAAAGAGTATAGAAGAAAAATGAAAACATGTTTTGTAAATGAAAGGAAGAAGGATTGAAGGGACAGAAGAGGAAGGGGAAATAAGAATCATAATATATCATGTATGGTATGAATTTTATATAATGAATGTTGGTATGTGCATATAAATGTTCTAATAAAATTAATTTTTTAAAAATTGATCAAGTATATAAAATTGAAACAGAAATATTAAACCTACTGTAAGATAAAATAGGTAAAATCGTTGAAGATATCAGTGTAGAAAAGGGTTTTCTAAATAGAACATCATCTGCATAAGAAATAACAGAAAGAATCAACAAAGGGATTATATCAGACTAAAAAGCTTCAGCAAAAGAATCAGTCAGTAAAGTGAACAGACAACTTACCGAATGGGAAAATTTTTTTCCAGCTACTCCTCAGACAGGGAACTAGTATATAGAATATACAAAGAACTCAAAAAACGTAAAGCACCTCAAATTAAGACCCAGTTAGGAAATGGGCAATAGAAATTAACAGGCACTTCATGGAGGAAGAAATTTCAACATCTCTGGCTATTACAGAAATGGAAATGAAAATAGTGCTATGATCCATCTTACTCCAGAAAGAATGGCAACCATTATGAAATCAAACAATAGCAATGCTTGCATGGCTGTGGTGACAAAGGAGCCCTTCTGCATTGTTAACGGGAATACAAACTAGTACAACCACTATAGAAATCAGTGTGGAGATCTCTCAAAAAATTGGAATTAGAAATTCCATACGATCCAGTTATTCTTTGGCTAGATATACCTTCCCTAAAGAACTAAGTCATCATACTACAGTGGTACATGTTTATAGCAATATTTATAGCAACATAATTAAGTCCTAAAAGCAGCCTGTATGTCCATCAACAGATAATTGCCTAAAGAAAATGTGGCATTTATATATAGTGCCATACTACTCAGCTATAAAGAATGACGCATTTGAGACATTTGTGGAAAATTGATGGCACCTGGAAAACATGTGGAGTGAAATAAACAGACACATGAGCTTAAATATCATACAGTATCTCTTGAGTGAGGCAAAGTACAAAGAAGATAAAAAAAAAAAGATGGATAGAAAAGGAACAAGGGAGCAGATACCTAGCAACTGGAACTGGTGCAAGGGTACAGGGGTGGGGAGTAAAGAAGAGGGGAGGGGTGAGTGAGAGGAATAAAGACCTAACAGCTCCAATTATGTAAACGTTAGATGCCATAACATGAGCTAAGACAAATAATAGATAGAAGAAAGGGGATGGAGAACTGGAGGAGGATGAAGAGGATTTTTTTTAAAAGAAGCTTAATATGCACATGTAACCACTCCCCAAGATGATTCTAAACCACCTGAATTTCAAACATGTACTAATAAAATTAAAAGGCCAAAAAAAAAAAAAAAAAAAGTCAAGAATGTTCCAAACAAGGGTGAATATTTTTAGGATTAATGGCAGTGCAACTTTTACTATAATAATTTTTAAAATTTTTAACTACTCACCATCTTTTTCAATCACACCTTGTACAGTGAAAAAAAAAAAAAAAAAGTAAAATCTGCACGGCACAGTAGCGTATGCCTGTGATCCCAGTTACTTAGCAGGCTGCGGACCACCAAGTTTGAGCCCAGCCTGAGCAAATAAACAAGACCCTGTCAGAAAGAAAGAGGAGAGAGAGAGAGAGAGAGAGAGAGAGAGAGAGAGAGAGAGAGAGAGAGACAGAGAGACAGACAAAGAAAAGGACTGGAAATATAACTTGGTGGAGGAGCGTTTGCCTTGCATGTACAAGGCCCTGGGTTCAAAGCTCAGCACTGGAAAAATAAACAAAGCAAAACTGCACAAGGATAAATACTCTTTGGCTAGAGCTGGCACCCAGCAACCCTTGTGCCTGCCTTCACCAGAGCTGGTCTGGGAGCTTCTGTGCCCTTCTCCAGTCATATAGGACCCAAGTGCTAAAAAAGAACCAGAGGATATCCAGCCCAACCTCTTTCTTTGTTCTTTTTTATTAGTGAGCAAATAGATACACAAAAGATCACATCAAAACCTTTTCTATGCATGAAAACTCCAAACTGTTATGCAAATAATAATAGTGATAAATGTGTTTAGAAGACTCTGCTAATACTCCTGGGCATTCAGTATTGCTCCAAAAATAAAATAAAAATAAAAAATAAAAATATTTCTGTGTCCCTCACTGCTATCCATTTTCCAGTGTCATCCTAAATAAATAAATATTCTACTCCAAACATTTCATTTTTAAGCACAAGATCTTTTAGAATCTGCTTCCTAAAATATACGAAATAGGGTTTATTTCCAGTACCTTTTTTTCTTTTCTCAAACTATATGAAGCAGTAATCTTATGCATATAGTTATATAGTTCATATGAATCTAGTAGGTAAGAAAGATTTAAAAGTCCTAATGAAAATATATCATTAATAAGTGATGTAATGTTTATGTCTCAATTGTGATCATCATTATCAACATCACTGCAAATGTCTCGGTTGTGCTTAAAATTACACATTATTTCTACACATAGTATCTTCCTTGACAGTCACTTTTCTGTGCCATTTTGTAGAAAAGGAGACTGAGGGTCATGAAGGCTAAACAATTTGCCTAGGACCTCACACACAAAGCCAAGGTTTGAACTGTTCATTGTTTATTTCATTGTAGTATCGTTCCAATTTTTTAGTTACTGGTCTTTGGACGTGGTGACATTTGGTGTGACTTAGAAAATCCAAGTTTAATTTGAAACTAAACTATTGAGTAGGTACCTTTTCCAAAGCTTCAACAGACCAAGCTGGGAAAAGCGGGGGTGGCAAACTTGGCTAGGGCACCTTCCAATCTCATTTTCCACTGTGTGCCTTTTTAAAGCTAAGCACTGAACCTTCAGAATAAGCATTTGAAAAATCAAAATTGGAATTCAAATTCTAGGAGACAGAAAGAGGAATACAGGTCTTAGAATTTTCTGTGTTACAATTAGTAACCTGGCAGCCAACTTCTCTCCAATCACTAATGTTTAGCAATTCTTTGAAAATATGAACATCTTCGGTTGGGAGAAAACAAGCCTAAGTAAAAGGGGGCAAGACTAGATGTTACTCCATTTCTGTTACTATAACAAAATACCCAAGACTGGCAACTTTACAAATAAAAGGGGTTTATTTAGCTCACAGTTCAAGGGCATGACACTGGTGTCCTATCAGCTGATGCTGGATAGGTCCACAATGGTTGGAGCACTTTTGGGAAGAAGAGATCATATCCTGGCAAAAGAAGCCACAGCAATTTAGGGGTTCAGAGCTGGGCTTCTCTTATAATAACTCCCTGGCTAGATCAAACTTTGGGTCCATGAGAGAACTACCTTAATGCTATGCAATGACCTAATGAACTCCAACTGCCTTGCAAGGTCCCACCCCCTCAACTTTACCACTGAGGAGCAGGCCTCCACCACATGAGCCCTGGGAGAACAAACCACATTCATCCCAAAGCCAGAAGGATCCAATAGGAGACTCAGAACACAGAACTAGATGCAAATTCAGGATTCAGGATTTCAAACCTATAAGGTGTTGTGTTTCAGACATGAAGCACATAAGCAGAAGGACAAATATCTGCATGGTTAAAAGATGTGAAGTTCTGCCACTGAGGACAGGGAAAGGAGGTGAGTGGGTATGCTTCAGCACCCCTGGAGTACGGTGGTTAGATTTAGAAAAACTAAAAGTACAGTTGAATATACGTGCACACATCTGTAATCCCAGCATTCAGTGAGGCTGAGGCAGGAAGATCACAAGTTTGAACCTAACCTGTACTTAATGTATTAGTGAGACCCTGTTTCAAAATTTAAGAAAAATAGGAAAAGAGCTTGGGATGTAGCTTAGTGATAACACCATGAGTTTAATCCCCAGTACTACAATAAACTAAATAAGTAAGGTACTCAATGACATTTGAATTGCTAATGAACAACTATTTTGTAATACAGTATGGTGCACGTGCTATTTGCACATATTAATACTAAAGACATATATTGTTTATCTGAATTTAGATTTAACTTGGTACCCTGTATTTTTTCTGGCCCCTATCTGCCCTGGAGGCTAATCTGCAGGGAATCCTGAGCTAGGTTTGGGGTAAGGGTACTTGTTTGGGAACTTGAGTGACAAGCCAAGAACTAGCACTGAGCTAATATAAGCAAGTTTGAATTAAGTTGTGTACATGCATCTTTTTCATGTGTTTCATCATCTGCTCGGGCCTTTGTCTTTGATTGAAAGTCTCTATAAACTATGCCTGAATTCCACGGAGTTAATCACAAACCTCCTGAAGTATTTTCATATTGTGTGTAATAAATGCCCATATACTTAGTATTTAAAGTAAGAACTACTCACCACAATATTTAGTTAAAATTACAAAGGGAGTACAAATTAAGCCATCATTTTGTTAAGGTGTATATTGTAAGTCTTATTTAATTTCCCTGTGTTCCCATACGCCTGTTTGTATAACTGTTGTGTCAAGACTTTTCGATGATAAAATATTTCAATTAGCTGCTAAAAGAAATACACTTAAGGAGTTACAACTGATGTACATTTGGACTAAATACTATAATCAGAGTTGTTTCTCACCTGAGTCCCTCTTGCTGATGTTGTGTGACAAGTGGTCCTGATTGCTGGCAATAACTCACTTTACGGGTTCACATTTGGGTGGTAATCTCATAAAAATAAAATAATGATTCGCTCGTGCTTCCAAAACGAAATTGGCACTAGATGTGGGCTAGATAAGTTGTACGGTCACTTTGTCACATCTGAAAGTTTATTTCAAAGTCCATTTTTTTTCAGATGCTTTCTACAGAACAGATTTGAGAGGACTTCAGTGACACTTGTGGATGGTGGCAGATGGACGGTTTTTAAAAATTGGGAGTCACACACTCATGTTCACCGGCCTCCATGTTCCCAGCTTCTGGAGGGGCCAGGGCTTCTCCCCTGGGCAGGGCCTCCTGAACATAAATGACAGGAGGAGCGGCCAGCAGCTCAATCAGAGGCTGAGGGGATTCCGTGCAGAGATATCCAGGGAAGTGAAGCAACCCTCATCTCTCAGCTGCCTTTTCTGTCTTTGCGTGACTTGTGCAATGATTATCACTCTTCAACAACCTCCTAATTCTGTCCTCTATAATCAGGAAATCATCAACTTTTCCTCATAACTTAGTTATCCTCTACTACTTTCTTGCAAAATGTCCTAATGTAAGTTCACAGAAGTGACCAGAGAATTCCCAAGATCTAACTCTATTCCGATACCTTTCCTCACGTCACCTAAAGTTCTGCAAAATTTATGGAGCACATTCTTGTTAAAGAAAAGCAGGGGCTGGGGATTTGGCTCAGCAGCATAGTACCTGCTTGGCAAACACAAGATCTTGATTTAATTTCCACCGCCCTAAAAAAAAAAGAGACAAGTAGCCTTTTTTTTTTTTTAATGGCAAGGCAGCTAAAGCCTGCTATTTATAACCAGAAAAAGATCTTTGTTTAAACTTTAAAGTAAAATGTCGCATTGTTCATGTTCATAACCACAGCAGACCATCTCAAGATGTGGACAAATCATGCCTTTACTACCAAGTCACTGTGGAAAATCTGAGGTGGCCACTCTGTCTTGCCAATAGAAATCTTGAAAAACAAAATAAACTTTTAAAAATCACATCCATAAAAAAAAATCACACCCATGTCTTTTTTTCAATACCAGAGTTTGTACTGAACCTCAGTCTTTTTATTTGTTAATTTTGAGACAAGGTCTCACTAAATTGCCCCAGCTGGACTTGTGATCTTCCTGCTTCAGCCTCCTGAATGCTGATATTACAGGCATGCACCACCACTCCTGGCTTATTCCCATGCCTTACATATGTCCTCTTTACAATGAATTCCACTTCTTAGAACTTTGTAGTGCTTTTCCTTAGCTCTGCTCAAAACCATTTCCATGATGTAGTGGGTCAATAGATATGGTGTCAAAAATCTAATGGTCCCAAAGATTTCTTTCGTCTATCCAGATCTCCTTTTCCAGCCTTAGGCAATTTTCTTTATCTTAAATAAATGTAGTCAAATAAATGTAGGTGCTCTTATGAGCACCTCAGAGAACGCAAAGTTTGGGAAGGAAGACTTTTCTTTTAAAATTTAAACCAGGCACACTTATAATCCCAGCTACCTGGGAGGCTGAAGCAGGAAGATCACAAGTTTAAGGTCAGTATGTGCAATTTATGAGATATTGTCTCAAAGTAAAAAGGAATGAGGGTGAAGCTCAGTAGTAGAGTACTTGCCAACCGTGTGGGAAGCCCAGGGCTCAACTCTCAGTGCTGCAAAAACACAAAAACAAAAACAAAAAAATGCCAGAAATTAAAATTATGTAGGACGCTTTAAAATAATCATTCACATGGCTCAAAAAGTAAAATGACATAGAAATATATATGTGCATATATATAGGTGTATATTATATTTTATATCCTCTTTTCGTTTGTCTCCCCCAATCTCTGATGCCCCCATAGGTTAGTGCTTTCGTTGGTTTCTTTTGCTGTCATCTGGTATCTTTATGTATAGTCACATATCACTTAGCAACAGGGACACATTCTGAGAAAAGTGTCATTGGGTGATTTGTCATTGTGGGAACAACATCAGAGTATGCTTACATAGACTTCAATGGCACATAAGCCAAAGACTCAACATGGCCTCTTGATGCAATCAAGAGATGCATGGATGAGGTGCGTGAGGCTGCTGGTGCCAGAAGGCACAGTGTCTTACAGCAAACCCTGTATAACACATAAGAGAACATGCTAGAATAATTATAATAAGAGCATAGTAGAGTAAATACACGAGCATAGAAGTCATTTATCACTGTTATGGATTATTACATACTGTGCACAGCTGCATGTGCTACACTGTCATAGGATGGCAGCACAGTGGCATTGCTGATGCAGCATAACCATAAACATAGCACTGTTGATGCTCCAGTATCACATGGCTTCAAAGGCACTGGGCAATAGCAAATTTTTCACTGTAATCTTTGAGATTGCCATTGTCTATGTGGTCCTTCATGGACTGACTCACCATTATTTTGTGCATGACTGTATATAGAAATATAGCATGTATAGCATGAACATATATTCTTACTTCCCTTGATTTCTTATACAAAAGACAATATACAGGCTGGGGATTTAGCTCAGTGGCATAAGCGCCTGCTTTGCAAGCGCATGGTCGTGAGTTCAATCCCCGGTACCGATTAAAAAAAAAAAAGACAATATACACTATACACGTTCTGTAGAATGCTATTTTCATACAAAATACATCCTGGTGTTCATTCTATGTTAGCACACAGATAACACTTATTAAGTGACATAGAACACTCTTAGTCCTTACCATCACATACAGTGCTGCTGTGAACTTGCCTGTAAATCCTTTTGTATATGCACAGATCTATCTGCAAGGTAAATTTCTGAAATTGGGAATTTACAGAGTTTGATTACATATCTCTGTTTTAACACATATCAAATAGTGGCCTGTATGTGGTTAGTGTCTCACTGTCTTCTACCTATTTTATGAGCTTTTGGGATGTAGAAAATGTCTCATTTATCCTTGCTTTTATAGTCCTACCATAGTGCCTAGCATGTTAATGCTGAATACAAACTAAACTTCCAGACATAACTGTAACCTTGAGAATGTTAAAGAAACCTCTTTGTTTAAAGACTGAGATTTAGGTACAGACTGAGCCACTCCTGCTCCCGAGTTTCTATTTAAAGATGAAAAGGGGACCCATAAAGATAGAAGTACTGGAAGCAGAGGAAGGGTTTTAAGGATCAGGCTCTCTTCAAAGCCAGAGACTTGGTTGATGTCAGGTAAACATCTGGGTTAAACCCAATAGAGAGATAGGATGGCACAATGGACAGGAAGCCTTTAGAACTCTGACTTGTGAAGGTCAGCTGTGGTTTCTGAGAATAGCATTTCTCAAACCCAGCCAAGATGCATAAGAAAGGTCAGGGTACCTTCAGAGCAGAATCAGTGCAGAGATGGAGATGGGAGGAGGGATAAGGAGGAAAAAAAGGAGGTGCAAGTGGAAGAGCAGGAGGAGGAGGAGAGAGGAGAGGGAGAGGAGGGAGAATGATTCTAGGTAAACAAGCTTCTTTGCTTTCATAAGAGCCTGTTACTGCCTCCTGGTTTATACTGCAGCCTTCACAACCTTCAGGAAAACCATTAGCAAAGGGTTAGGGAAAACTCAGACCTGGTCTTAAGCTGTCGACGGCCATACTTCTCCAGCTACTTCCCTCCTGATCCCAGAGTGGCCCCAGCATGACTCTACTCTGCAGACAGGTGCAGGATTCTCCCTCTCCCAAGTCATCACTAACCATTGCAGCTGCTACTGGACTACGTGTAACCAAGTGTGAAGAGATAGATGGCAGGTTGATGGGTTATGCACAGAACTCATGGTGGCCCTTGTCAAAATCCTTGCCTCAGGGCTGGTCAGGGATATACAGCTCAGTGATGAAGCGCTTGCCTAGTAAGTGCAAGGTGCAACATCTTGAGTTCGATCTCTGGCTTAAAAAACAAAATCCTTACCTCTCAAAAATTGTCATGGAAAAGTAATTGGTACATCTTTCTATCAACAATGTGGCAATATTATCTCAAAATTGTAAATGTGCTTTTATGTAGCAATTCTACTTCAAGGAATTAATTCTTCAGTTGCACTTATAAAAGTGTATAAAAGTATGCATTGTTGTTGAAGCATTACTGTGAAAAGGAAACATTAAATAAAAATAACCTGAATATTCATAAGCATGGTAATGGCTTTATCCATAATATTGTGTTATGCAATGCTCCTTGCAACTTATAGGAGAATGAGATAAACTCATGTATAGAGCACACAGCAAGAGCCAACACACACTGCTACACAAATAAACACACATTTAAAATAGCAAAAACATTATATAATTTTACTTGTGATTTAAAAGCAGATATGCTTTTAAAAAGTCTGTTAAAATATGATCACTAATAATGATCACTATTGTGGATAGCATTGACAGGACAAGGGCAAAGAGACAGGACTATAAAAAAAATAACTATGTGCTTTTAGTATCACTTTTATAGTTACAAATTCACTTGCAACCAATCTGTATTTCTTAGGGTCTTGTGATAATTAGGTTATATATGATTTGGTGGTCATTTTTGACTCAGAATAAACATCACTTTAAAAGTTTAAAAGGGTGTTTTTTATGACTTTTTAAAAAGCTATGGCTGAACTTTTTTGAAACTCAAGAAATTGAATTTAGCTTTGTGGCATATATTCAAAATGCAATTCATGCAGAAAACTCAGTAAAATTTCCTGTGATTACAAAATCCATGTGTTGAGCTCTCAGTCAGTTGACAAGATTATTAATAATTTTAGTTTTGACAAACTTCCATTTATCACTTACCTGAACACTTTTAAGGAATGCTTTTTAGTTTTGTGTTTTATTTCAGGCTAGATCTCTTATGCAATGGACTTAGAAATCATAAAAAATATATTGCCATATTTTATCAAGGTCAAGGAGAAGTGAAGAAGAAATACAATCTCATATTATGCAAGTGTCCTACTGCTAAAGAAGGGACTGCTCGGTACAGACTTACACAAAGTGGCAGAATCTGATTTAGATTTTAGCATCCTGATAATTGGAGCCATTCAGACAGACTCTATGCCTGATCCTGAAGAATGAGAACCTGAGACAAGAAGCGAGAAAGATGAGAAAATGTCAAGGAAAGAGAAACATTTGGCAGACACAATTGGCAATAGCTTCAAGTAGCTTCTTGTAGCAAGGCTTTAATCAAATGCAGCAGAATATTATGTAGAACATCATATTCCAGGTCACCTACCTTTTCCAAGACTGCCTGTTGCTAAGATGATGATGTCTTTGGTGGCTACTTTAGCACAATTTTCTGATGTCCAAAAGTTTTAGCAATTTGCCTTTCCACAATGCGGGGGGGGGGGGGGCCTGAGAAGTGTACATTTTAAATTTATTTGCATTGTTCCTCTCCTCTGTGGAACAGTATTCTGTGTTTGCAAGTGTAGACAAACCTGCATTATTTTTGCATAGTAAGATGACAGGTCCATTTTATAAGACAATGGTAGACATATCAAGAAATAAGATAACTTATCTTACTGTAATTATAACAGGTCTAGTTTATGGAAATGAGCCAAACCTGAAATCCATAAATAACCTTAAGAAATTTTCAGAATCAAAGCACACTTTTGAGGTTAGCTCTGAAACCTTTGAGAGTCTCCACTTTCCAGCTCAATGCTAATGCACAATAATCCCTAGAGTAAGGGAAACAGGAAGTTAAAAGGTCATCAAATAAAAAAGAAACAACAGAAATTAAGAGAAAAATAAAGCTGTAATATAGCAATAATGAGAGCCTGGTTTCCCCAGTTCATTTATTACCCCAAAGTTCAACTTTTACAAATGTAAAAATGAATACACCTTTCTATGAAAAGTTACTTTTACAAAATAAATAGGTTCTAAATATGTTTGGTGATTTAAATATATCTGTTGATATGATTTTGGGCTTTATTAAAATTGTGATTCTGAAAAATAAATTATTTTGAGAACTAATTTGAAGACCACTCATAATTTGACCCCAATTATTTGAATAGTACTGGTGAAAGTATATTTTTAAAACTCAGTTCTCCAGATAACATACATAAATATACCAAAGTTCACAAGATTGAGTATCTCTTCAAACACATTTTATTATAAGCTGTTTTCTCCTTTGAGTCACTGATCAACTTTATTATGTGCAGTTTCCACAATACAAGTCTATTTGTGCCAGTGTCTTAGCATCAGAGTATCCTCTCATCAGAATACTGGTTAGGTTCCCTAGTGTGAATCACTTATCCAGTTGCTCGCCTGATTATTCACATGTTTTTGAGATTTGTGAAATGTGGCAGATAAACAGGTTTATGCTGTGTGCAACTTGGAGGGCAGCCAATGTCTGTGTGCCTATACGGTATATTTACTCTCCTTCCTCAAATCTCTCTCCCACACAGAGAAGCCGTATTTTAAGACCAAAATCAGTGTAGAATGCAACCCAGTAATGTCACTGCAGAAAACAGCAGGTGCTCATCCACTCATTTGCAGTGATTCTTGCAGTGAAGAAAGTGAATCGATGATTTACCCAATGGACAAAGAAACGTCACAGCGAACATTTGGGAAAATCAAATGCAGAAAAAGCACATTGTCCTTTAAAGGCGTGCTCTAATTTTAGAAAGCAAAACCTCCCACAAGAAAAATAAAGAATTTTGCTGAAGTGCTCTGGCTGTACCTGCTTTAAGCAATGGCATGTTTCCTCTCTCCCTCCTTCCCCTGTTGTATTGCTTTTGTGTTGCACTTCTAAAATAAATATCAATAAATCATTGCAGTTAGATACTCTAATATAGACAGAAATGTACTTGACTCCCTACAGTCATTACAATTGGAGGGGACTCTGATTAGGATGCTTTACTTAATTAAGTGATATCGTCTAAAGAGAGTTCTTCCCTCCATTTTCTGTTTAACAGTCTTATAAAACACCAACAGAGGAAATTCATTCTGTTGTTTGCTTTCCTTATTGTAAATGGTTTCTTCTCATTCATATTTTACAAAAGATGTCGAGTTAATGAAACAGCTAATAAGCCAAAGACTGTGGTTCAGCTGTATACAACCTTGTTTAAATCAACCCAGCCAGCTAACCCGGACACATCTCTTCCCACCAATCCCAGAAAAAATATTTCTTTACTTTTTGCTTTTTTTTTTTTTTTCAGCACGTGTGACCAAAAAATTAAGATGTTTTAAAAACATATTTTTATGAAAATATCACACTGAAAAATCACACTTCATCTAGTTTAGGTATAGCTTAACAGGCTTTTAAAATCTGTTTCTTTGAGAAAACAGAAAAAATGGGCAAAGAATAAGCAACCCTTAATGCATTAGAGGTTATTTGTGAGGCACTTTGATTTTACTGAAAGAAGTCATTAAATTTGGATTGCCAATACAAATATGATTATATATGTTTTCTAAATAAAATGTTATTATGTCGCAACTGAACTCATCCATTTATTGTTTGTTTACCTAATGCTCAAACGCATGTTTTATTCATAGATGTCTGGGAGAAAAAAATTTTTGCTTGATAATCACACCAAGCATATTTAACAAAAGCGATTCTCCTTTTTTATTAGTGAACAAGTTTAAGCAGAATGATTTCATTTTTTCCCCCATTTAGTTAATTCAGACTAGCAGGATCCTTAGCCTACAGCTTTTGTTTCTCCCCCTGCTGCCTTTTATACCTTTAATGTATGCATGCCTATCCACTGATGGGAAAATATCATTTCCTGAAACTCTTCCTTTTTCCTTCTCATTATTCTCTCAGTTGATTTTTAGTTTTGGTTAGTTTTCACTGTCAAATCACTTTGTGCACAGGTTAGATAAGTTGAAGCCAAGTACACAGTTCATTATCTTGCTGAAGATTTTATACTGTCTTTCATTTCAGTGTATTTAAATTTGAAGTAATCTCATTCTTTAAAAAAAAAACAACATGGCTATATTTTTGAAGAAATTGAAAATTGTATAAAATAGAACGTAGTCAAGAAAGTAAAGATTTATTGCTCTCTGTGAAATTTTTTCATTGCCAAATAAAATATTTTAGCAACATGTTTGCAATCTTCGCAAATTAACAATAGTCTTGCATTGAATTTAGCAATTTTATCTCTATTAAAAACAGAATTAAATGCAAAAGCTCTCTTAAATTAACACAACCAGCTTATCATCAATTTTCTCTTACTTTACCACACTGTACAGCCAAAAGCATTCGATCTGTAAAATTTAAATGCACATAAGTCTCAATATGCAAAGCTGAATATTAATGAATCACATTCAAGGAGTTTTTAATTAATTGCTAAGCCATTAAAAGAACATTTTATGACACAAAATGTATAGCTTGGTCATTTACCATGCTAAATAATAATAATAGTACTACTAATAACGTATAATCACTAAATAGGTTAATTTTTATTATAAGCTTTTGTTTTAATGTACATACCATCCAACATAAAACTACTGCATGAAAAATTCTACAATTGCAAAATTTTCTTTATCTCCTAAGTAAAGAAAATATAAGAAAAACAATAAATCAACATGCCCCAGACATATTAGTCAAAGTGAATTCCAGAAGTTGCTTATAATTGCTTTTATTATTTTTAAAAGCACTGCTTATTAAAGACTAGTTTTTCATTAGTTCTAAAGTGCATATAATTTTAGTTTTTGTTCAAGTGCTGTAACCTACGTATTTTTTGCAACTAAGAGCTTACCCTAACTTCTGCTAAGCTAACTGCTTTATAGATTTGCAAGCTCTTCATTTTAAAAGGTGCCTTTGTCCTGAAACTAAACATATGACATTCCTCTCCCCTAAGAAAAATTTTGAGGAATTGAATAACAAGTAAATCTGGTAAGGTTTTATTCCATCCCTCCTCACATTTGTCTATGTCTTTAAAAATAACTTTTAAAAATAGCAAATGTGAGGGTTTTTTTCCTAAGACTAAGATGAATGAGAACTGCATCTAATGAAGTACCACTGAAGTCAGAGTAGACGCTGAGTCATTATCTGGCAGAAGAATGTGAGTTCTATTTTGCCTGCACCAATTAATTTTATCAAATGACTTTTCTACTTAAATCGTTTGCTTTAGGACACACTGATTTTAGAGATAAGCAGAGTTATTGTAACATGCATTTTAGACCATTATTATTTCAATTCCTATAAATCAAACTGTATGCAACAGAGCCAGTTTGAGGGGACTATTAATTGAAACTGCTTTTCACAAGAGCAGTTAACATGTGTAGCTAATGCTGCAGTCCTGACAGGCAAATATATCACATTTTAAAAATTTAACACAAGTATGACAATGTCTTTTAGTAGGCTTTTTAGATGAAAATACTCTACATCTTAATGTAGTTTTTTGGATTTGTAAAAGTAGTGTTCTAAATAAAGTTTGTGTCATCTAAACCATTTGTCTCTGAAAAGCAACAGGAAATGTAAATTTTCTAGAGAAAACATAGCTTAGAGATACTGTCCTACAATAAAGTAGCTCAAATCTGTGTTAAAAATAGGACAAAGAAAAAATTTAGTGCCACAGATAAGATAGTTCCTCGAAACTAATTTTTTCTTTCCAGAGAAACATGAATGTCAAGAAACAAAAGATTTAGCAAAAATATTTTTTTTGAAAAGGAGCAGAAAAAATTATTTTAAAATCTTGTGTGATGTGGGAGGAGAAAAAACAAACAAACAAAAAAAAAAAAAAAAAAAAAAAAAACAGAGCAGACCAAAATAAACAACCACAAGCAAGATAGTCAAAGTCAGACTTCTTTTTTATTTACTTCTAAGGCATATTTTCTATCACCAAAAGACGACTGCAGAGTCTGGAGAACAAAGTACTTCCATTGGCGAGTTATACTTTATAAATACTGGGACTGCATCACTGACTTGTTTGGAAGAAAATTCTGTTATTATTAGTACCAGTTTTGTCTCCAGAAAGAATACCTGCTAGTCTTTCACAAATTTGCTTTCATGAAGGAGCAAACTTGACAATAAAGTACTGTCAGCACGTATACATTTCTGATTCAGTTTAAACATACTGATAAGTAATCAGCCTAAAAATGTTTTGAGCTCTCTCAGTGGCCCAGAGGGAGCTCTAC